TATCACAGTTTGTGTTACAAAATATATAGTTTACAAATAATTATTTAACAGCAAAACATCAAAATCCCATGACTTTATATTATTGTAAACTACACTCTACAACAAAGTATTATAGAATGTATTTTATTAAATAAATTAAGTTTTTGCATTTTGTGGATAATAAAATCCATATAGTAGTAGTTTTAAAAGTTACATTTCGTTTTATATATTAATAATAATTAATAAATGTTAATGTAATATTTGATCATTTGTTCACTAAAAATAATACATTTTATAGAAAAATAGTAATCGTATTTAAATCATTTTTTTTTCTAAAAATATCTAATTTGACTATTTTGGTTCAGAAAGGAAACTAAGTAACCCTATTGCAAACATGTTTTAAGAACTACATATTTTATAATAGAAAAAATAAGATAAAGGCCTTAGGCTTACTGTACTTAAGTGTCTGTCCTTAAATTTAGTGAACCAGAGAGTTATTTACATTTCGTGACGTTCGTTCCAAGACTGTATTTCATCGTCTGGGCTGATGTTACGCGAAGGTGATGCTCTATTGTTAACGAGAACAGCTGATGTTTTATTGTGTGCCCCAACATTTGATGTCTTATTTTTAACGAGAACAGTTGATGTTTTTTTTCGTGAACAGTCTGAAAGCAGATCAGACATTAAGCTTTCCTTCTGGTAGAGGCTAGCTATTGTTGGTTATTTAACAATTAGACAATTTCTTCCATTAGGAAGCACATAAAAAAGAGAAATTATTTCCAACAATAATTTAAATTTCACCTTGCATGGTATAGTTTTTCATTTATTTCACTGAGATACTCTATCAGAAATTCACTGTGTTAAGAAAATATAATTTCAACAATATAATTGTGTATTTATGCACGTCACCAGGACACTACCGTGCTCACAAACATTACAATTAGATCCGTCCTTAGAACATCAACCTATTAACACAAAATACTTGAACACGAATGTAACAATGTGTTGCTTTTTTCTTGCATACACTGTACCATGTGGAACATACACTTTTTTACTTTCTCGTATATACGAAGTATAGAGAAAGTCTTGTAATCGTGCAAAATCTCGACGTTTTACACCTCACTGATACGGAAAAACTTAATTTTGCAATCTTGTCCGTATGTCTGTGTGTCTGTCTGTGTGTCTGTCTGTGTGTCTGTCTGTCTGTCCGTGTGTAAACACGATAACTTGAGTACCGTTACAGCTAGGTTGATGAAATTTCATATATAAGTATTTTATCAAAATCGTAGATCCGTATCAACTGTTGAGCGATTTCCGATAATCGGAAGTGGTACTTTTCCTACTTTGAATTTTTCAAAAGCCTATAACTTGAGTACTTTTTCAGATAGATAAATGAAATTTCACATTTAAGTAAAAGATCTAATTCTCTACCTTCTGTGAAATTTTGAGTAATTTCCGTTGAGTGGAAGTAGTACTTTACGCTACTTCCGATTTCTCAAAAAACTAATGTAAATTTTAAAAGTACTAATAATATTGCGCACTACTATGCGCTTTTTTATTTGGCGTTCATTTGGTGTGCAATTAATTTTTCTACGAGATTTTATTCTATTTTTAAAACTTTAAGTATTTAAAATGGATTAAAAATCATGTCTATAGCCCGAGTTCCCATCCCCTGTTTTTATATAAGAATATTCGAGAAAGTTTAGGGGAGATCACTCCCGGTTTATTTTAAAGTCGTTTTTGTACATGTGAAGTGTCAAGACAACTCTGCGTAGTTATAATAATTGTTAGCGTTAAATTATTGTGCTGGGAAAAACTAATGAAACTATTTTCGCTGATTTTGTCTTGGTTAACACGAAAACTAATTACTGTTAAACAATACAATATACACATTGTCTCTGTAATGATATAAGGACTGGTAGGGTCATTTATTTGTTTTGATAATAAAATATCTAATTTTAAAGAGTATATTCAAAAGACAAAATTATCATTAAAGTAGGCCTAATTAGTTTATATTTTAATACAGATGGCCGTATCAATTCCTATAAAGGAGCAATTAGCTCAACTGTTGAACAATCTGGAAGAGATGAAAAGTTTGTTGAAAAATAATTTAAGTGACTTTGATCAGGAGGTAGGCAAATCTCGTCATACGAAGAACTTTAACTTACATAGAACATTATCGTATCAAATGCGTAAGAAAACAAACTCCAAAACCTGTTACTAAGAGCTGTTTATTATTACAAATATTTTAAAATTAATGGCTGTTATGTAATCTCATTTTTCCATGCACATCTGTTAAATAGATTTGCACATGGTATTATATGGTAGTGGAATTACTTTAAACACCCAATGCAACAATGATAGATATTAAGGATTTATAATTTATTTAGCTTTTAAATTAATTAGCACCCGAATATTTAAATATTTCAATCCTCGCCTCTGTTATCGCATGGCCAGGTAAAACAAGCAACACTGGAATGGCTTGAGAATCCCTCAGATGCGAAAATAAATTTTAAAGAAGTGGTTGCTATGGTAACAGCAGTAAATACTGCCCTACCTCAACTTAAACAAACTATTTCTGGTAATATTATAAAATTTGGTTGTGTTTAATTTTTTATTTATTTTTTTAAACGTTTGATTAATCACTATACTTTAATTATCATACATCTTGTTTTCATGGACTACATCGTCCATTAAAAATAATTTCATCCCGTGTATTGTAATGTACATTATCGATATTTTAAAAAGTATTGTGTTTTCTAAGAATCAAAATATTTGTATTGGGGAAAAAACGTGTTGTTTAAAATTCGTTTTTTTATATTTTAGATTGTGTGCTATTAGAAAATATGTGCACTGCACATAATTACTATTGTAAGTGTATTTCATTGTAAATCGAATCCTTAAAACATATTTGTTACACGTGTCTAAAAGTTTCCTGCACCAAGTATCAAGCAATGGCTGCTGGAGATAAGACAACACACGAGAATAAAAGTGTTGACTCTGTACACGATGGAAATTATTCTGTTCTTTCTATATCAGGTAAAATTTTAATTTTTGATTTATGTTAGCAAAAATAAAAAAAAATAGTAAAATAATTGTAAAACGTTATTGTGATACGCTACGTAATTTTATTATACATAAACACACACACACACACACACACATATATATATATATATATATATATATATATATATATATATATATATATATATATATATATATATATAAAATGCAAGTAACTTTGTTGAATTTGTTGACCTTTCTTCATGTCAACAACCACTGACCCAGCAGCGCTATTGTCGGCACATTTCACTTCTATAAACATACACCACCTGCCTATAGCCCACACACCAACTCCAATCCGTTTATCTTCCCTTTCATGTAGAGTGACACAGATGAGATATAAACCATCATGTGGTGATACAAATGTTCCTGTTGTTTGATTAAAATGTTGACCGTTATATTTACGTACTTCACAAAATGTTGAAATAATCGATCCATCACTGACAGGTGTGTCATCAACAAGCGTCACATGACAAGCATATCTTTTACATACACATGACTCTGTTGATTAGAAAACATATGTATGATGTACATAATTAATTTCACGAATGCTTTGACTGTTCGATACAAAATATTTGTGACTTGTCGTATCGTCAGTTTATGTTAATAACCCTAAATAAACTCATTATATGTGTTTTATATGTAGTTAAAAATGTAAGGTAAAATGACAAACCCAAATAAATCACTATATCCACTACATTAGTACGGCCCTATATTTTAGTGGTGTTAGTTTGTCGTGTCCTACGTATCAAATCTACGAGTGTAGTAGGGAATTAATACGAAAACAAAGGCATAACAAATATAATGGGTTTTGTTAAAATCATACATTATGTTTTTGTTCACATTATATATTAATTATGTAAGGTTAATTTATCGAATCAAGAATTTATAGAACTAAAGCTATTCACTTGTAATTATGAAACTCAAGTAAATCCGATTACAAGATCTGCACCGTCAACCCATTGTATACTTATTTCACGTTACAGTAAACCAATTATATATTAAGATGTTACAAAAGTTTAAAAAAATAAATGTTTTCAAGTATTAGTTTATTTCAGATTTAATTCTGACTCGTATGGGCATTGTCTTAAAAATAGAAACATAAAGGGATGACGTGACGTTACTTGGAATTAATTAATTGATTATATAGTTAACTTTTAACCGCATTTATGTAAATGTCTTTCTGTACTGTGGTAAACCGCCGTAGGTCGACTAACGACATACCAGGTGGTGTAATGTACCAGGTGGTGTAATGTACCAGGTGAGGAAACAAACACCAGACGGAGACCCACGAGTCTAGAGACTGACACTATGGGTGAGTGAAATGTTCCATTCTTTATCACGTTATGGTCTGTCTGGCTAACGAACATCACGTTATGGTTTGTCTGGCTAACGAACATCACGTTATGGTCTGTCTGGCTAACGAACATCAAGTTATGATCTGTCTGGGTAACGAACATCACGTTATGGTCTGTCTGGCTAACGAACATCACGTTATGGTCTGTCTGGCTAACGAACATCATGTTATGGTCTGTCTGGCTAACGAACATCACGTTATGGTCTGTCTGGCTAACGAACATCACGTTATGGTCTGTCAGGCTAACGAACATCACGTTATGGTCTGTCTGGCTATCGAACATCACGTTATGATCTGTCTGGCTAACGAAAATCACGTTATGGTCTGTCTGGCTAACGAACATCACGTGATGGTCTGTCTGGCTAACGAACATCACGTTATGGTCTGTCTGGCTATCGAACATCACGTTATGGTCTGTCTGGCTAACGAACATCACGTTATGGTCTGTCTGGCTATCGAACATCACGTTATGGTCTGTCTGGCTAACGAACATCACGTTATGGTCTGTCTGGCTAACGAACATCACGTTATGGTCTGTCTGGCTAACGCACATCACATTATGGTCTGTCTGGTTGTATGATTTGTTTTAGAAACGTACCGATTAGATTCAAATCTTTGGACAATTTTGAAATGGCATCTTCAATATTTTCCACCTAAAATATATATTTTATAAAATTAATGAAGAAGTCACATAGTTTCGTAGAACATACAATTGCTGCAATAACATTAACTTTGGTATGGCAACTTGTAAGAATAGAAAATAATTTAAAGCATGTTTTTGAACAGAGTGTTAATATTTAAATACCGGATTTATCAACGTCGCAATTTAATTTTTAATAAAATTACTATGCATATAGGCCTACCCTCGTTTTTCTTTCTTCCCTAGTTTCCAAGTTCTGGTTAAAGATTTGAATCAGTTTGTCAATGGGCATCAATCTTTGTTGTAGGAGTTTGTATATCACACTGTGCTAAAGAGCAGAAGATTCAATTAATGCATTAAAATTTTGATTATTTTTACTGCACATTAAAACTAACATAAACATGTGTTTTAAATCTAGTAATAATATAAAAGTATAACTGGCGATAAAGCTACTAAGTTGAGTTTTGATTTAACCAGGTTATTAAATGTGAAATAAGTTATCTGGCCAGTACGTGTAAAATTGTGTACCCACATAATTAGCAATTTTACCTTTTCTAATTGAGCTGATGTATTCAGCATGTTTTTAGAACTCTCTTCTTGTAAGGCAGCAATCTGATTAGAAAGTCTTTTAATTTCTTCTGTTATACTATCAGTCTTATCTGTGTGATATTGCATATCTTTATTTATTTTGTGTAAGTTGTTTTCATATTTTTTCATATCTAGACACAGTTTCTCTAGTGTGTTGTTTGACTTGGTTTCTTTTTCTTTTAAGCATTCAATTTCTTTGTTCAGCTTCTTTACTTTGTTTTCTTTTTCACTGATTTGTTTTCTGAGATTTTTAACATTCTGCTTTTGATTTTTAGTCAGTTGTTCAATGTTTACCCCCATGTCACTCTGTTCTGTTACAAAGTTGTCTCTCCATTGTTTTATTTCTGATATGTCATCTGTAGACTTGTCATTGGCGTCTTGTAGAGAAGATATGGCTGTCTCTATCTGCTCAAGTCGACTCAATATTTCTATAGTAATACGTGATAAACAAATTAAATTATTTTACTTATTAATTTTGTTAAGTAAATCATAAATACTTTATTTTTAAAGAAGCTAAGACATATATGTTTACATCTTAAGATTTAGTTGTTTTAGTTTCTAAATATTCCATACCCGCTGTTGATTGAACGTGTTTAGTGACTTGTTGTTTTGATTCACTATGGTCACGTTTTTCTGCTGCTGTAGTCTGTGGCGTAGACTGAGATAATGATGGCGCATTATCCTCGACATCTACGTAGTCTTTATTTTCATCTTGGTGATGTAAATGAACAAAATAATGTTTTGTTACATATTAAAATAGTCGAATATGTATTTTTGTTACTTGAATAATTTCTTTAGATGGAACTACTGTTTTTTTTCATAGATCCTCGATTTAACATTATTACAATTATTGAAAAAAGCTTTACTTATGAGTGATGATGACGCATTCAACAAACACAAAGTAGCTGCCTCTAGTTCCTGGCAAAGTTCGCCGTACGTGAGAGGCGGGTTATGAATTTCATCTTCTATCCAAGTTTGACTTTTTTCTATAGCCTTGTATAAAAACATTTTTGAATGTACCGTGTATTTTTCTTTTGAAATTATTCCTGAACTACTTTTTTCTACTTAAGTTATTGCACTATTTAAAATGTATGAACAAATAACAATATGATTAATCGTTTACGTTTTTTATAATTTCCAAGACAGGTTTCAGAACTTGTATCTGTTCTTCCAAATATTTCTTATGCCGTGCAACAAGTTCAACTTGAATTCTGGGTCGCATCTAACAAAATAATTAAAAGATTTGGTCGATATTTCAACTAATTACTTGAAAAATCAGAAAAGTATAAACCAATAAAGAAAAACAAAATATTTATAATAAGATAGTTTTTAAAAAATCACATATAATTTACATTTTTAACATGGCTAAATAGCAAGCAACTTTATTGATAGACTTTTAATATGTGTTTATTTAACATGTTATTCTACTATAAATTTTGAATATTATTATTTTTCTTATTGCATGAGATTGGACTCTTTACATTTACATCCAACAAATGAAAATGAAAGTATCCATCGGGAATATCAGCTTTTATTAAAAAAAAATATTCCATTAATAAACATGACCGCAATAGAAGATACGTAGGCTGCTAGATCTGTTTTTTGCCTCCAATTACAATATTTCATCCAGGTAAAAACCACGTATCTGTGTATTTAGTAGGTCACTCAAATGATTTTATGTCGAAGAAACTATTACCTGATTATATAATCATGTTCCTCTATGATTAACATATCTTAAAATAGGTACTATTTGTATTCGAAAAACTCAAACTAAACGACACATTATATGATCCACAATTGAATACAGGTTTCATTACTAAATTAAGATACATGTATATTCTCTAAACCATTTGATTACATTTACTTTAATCTTGACTTCTGGTATTCTTTTGACGTGTAGGTAAAACGTTATCAAACTATTCCACCACTTCTATCCTGCTCGTGAAACTGAAAGTAATGAACGGGAAATTCCGCTATTATCTATTACGTCGAAACCTCGGTACAAAGTACACAACAACTAGAGGGATATAACTGTGACTGCTCTTGTTTTTATTGTAACAACACATTGAGTTAAAGAAGGTAACATAATATACTGTTTAATTTCATTACATATGTAGGTTACTTAATTATAAGCCTGCATATGTGATATATGTATATACGATATATTGCTTATTATATGCAGATAGACGTTTTTGGTTAGATCTTGTGTTAGGTCTAGGATTAGGTTAGGAACATAAATGAGTCCAGTAAAAGTTCATATATAATCAATTCATGAAGAGTTCACGTTTAAATAATTTCTATCGAGAAAACAAATGAATGAGAGTTTATGACAGAATATTCAATGCAGAAGAAAACTAAATCCAATTCGACATCATTATTCGTGTGGAAAACGTGTGGTGGCTACAACCACAAGTCTCCTCACGTCGTTTTATATCGAGATTATTCTACGTTTACGGTTGTTTTTTTTATAAGTTTTTCGATCACTAACTAATGTGTGATCGGATAATATTTGCGTGATTTAGATCTTAATGACTGGAGTCGTGTGTGCGTTTATGCTTCGTTCAGATATCTATAAACATGGTAATGTGATTAGCAGTGGCGGGACTAGAAAAAAAGGGCTACCCCGCAAAAATTTTTTAGGCCCCCCGTATATATATATATATATATATATATATATATATATATATATATATATATATATATATATATATATATATATATATATTGTCACAGCCTTTTTGTACTGCCAATTTCATGGCACAAACTCAAGACAAATACTAACCGCACCACTGATGTGTTATTCCATATTATAGCCTAATTAATTTTTATAATTTTATTGCGCGCATTGACCGGCTCTCTTGGCCAAAGCTCGAAGAACTTAGCACAAAGATCGTATTTCGTAAATTGGCCGGCCAATGCGCGCACTGGCTGGAACGTACTTTCCAAATTTCGAAGCGCTTAAACTTGACAGCGTATTTTGTACATTATTTTTCAGAATAATATTTGTGAATACGTTGTAAAGAAAGCACCGAACGTGTTAAAGGAGAAAAATAGAATTAAACCAAGTTTTCACCATTGTTCGCTTTACAAGCTGATGAAAATGCTCGCTGTTGCTTGTCTTCATGACATATATATTCATTCAATGATATAAAACAAGCGTTTCAATTTTGTATTGAACATAAACCACTATAAAAAGTAAAGATTTCATTGAGAAAATAAACAAAGAGCTAGACGGCTGTTGAAATGAAGTTGTTTTTAGAAATGCAAGGGAAGCAAGACCTTAAGATATAGCCTACTTTAACAATTAAGAGTGGTTTGAGGGGGTAGCATACCTAGCAGTTATGTTCAACAAAAAATAGGTTTAATCTTAAGCTTCAGGGGGAAAAAATATTATTGCCATTCAAGATAATCTCGGGGCTTGTTTTTCCAAACTATGCAATTTGCGAAAATAAAATCTTGAGAATATTGCCATGTGTGGTGTGTGTAATATGAATCTGAATATTAAACAAATAACATTTTAAAAGATGAGATTTTTTATCATCTTGAATATCTTGACAACGAACATTGGCATTACTTCACTGAACTGAAAGAAGTATAAACCATAATGACACATAGTACGTTCTCTGCTTTTGTTTATGTTGCCATATATATGCAACTAAACGAATATGAACCCTTTTTCCTGATAATCTCGAGGCATTTTTTTTACCAAAGCAGCGAAATTGACAAAGAAAAACAAATCTTGGAAACAATGGCATGTTTGATATTTGAGAATCTGATTTTGAGATAAATATCAATTTGAAAGAGGTGATTTCTAGCCATCTTGAGTTTCTTAAAAACTAAATGCGGCGTTATTTCCCTGAGCTGAGAGAAGAAGAAACCACGTTGAAACGTAATCCTTTCTCTATTCCCCTTGAACTTGCCAGAATTCCTGATGAGTTACAAGATGAATTCTTGGATTTGCTGAATCATTCCGAGGAACGTACCGTGGTTAATGAAAACCATTCATAACCTAACGTGACATTGTTTTCCATGTCGAGTTTTAGTTCCTTTAGTGTCTATGCGAGAATGGATTTTCAATACTTATACAATTTAAAACAAAACATTAACCAATAAATTAAATGTTGTGAATTACATGAGGTTGGCATCAAATAAACGTAACCGAAAATTTGAGTCTAGTCAATAACATGCAATTTCACCCATCTTAGTAAATCACTTATCAAACATAATTTAAGAGAAAAATTATAGTAGAAATTTTTTGTTCGATGTTAATTAATGTCCGTGTTAATTATTATTGACTTTTCAATAGCGTGATGGTCGTGGGTCAATTAGCTATTATAAAAGGGGGTCGCCACTCGATAAAGTTTGGGAATCTGTGCCTTATAAGAAAAAAATACAAAATAGTTCATCGCCTTCTAGTAAACTGCACTTAAACGTATCCTTAGAGTGGTAAGGTAGAAGAATATAAAAAACGTGTCATATGTGATCGCATGCGTACATAAATGTTTTCGACTGCATGTATACCTGGGTGTACGTATGTGCTCATGTGTGTGTACATCTGTACGTGTGTAAGTAAATAAACATTACACAATACTTGGTTTAGCTCACATACGTGTTGGAAGACAACGCTGGTTTTCAAACACTGTTAAAGTGTCTGTCTGTCTGTGTATAAACGCGATAACTTGAGTACCGTTACAGCTAGGTTGATGAAATTTTATATATAAGTATTTTATCAAAATCGCAGATATGTTTCAACTTTTGAGCGATTTCCGATAACCGGAAGTTGTACTTTTTCTACTTTGAATTTTTCAAAAGCCTATCACTTGAGTACTATTTCAGATAGATGAATGAAATTTCATATGTGAGTAAAAGATCAAATTCTCTACCTTCTTTCAAATTTTGAGTAATTTGAGTTGACAGGAAGTACTAAATTACGCTATTTCCGATTTCTCAAAAAACGCATGTAAATTTATAAAGTACTAATAATATTTTTCTATGAGATTCTATTCTATTTTTAAAAGTTTAAGTAATTAAAAATCATGTCTATATTCCAAGTTATATAAGAATATTCTAGAAAGTTTAGGGGACATCTCTCCCGGTTTATTTAAACAACGAATCTTTTCTCGGCATCAAATAATCAAGCAATGTTTACACACTATTCACACGGAGTCAAAGACATGATTAATTTAAACATTACTTTTCACTAATCAATTTCCTGATTATTTGAAAGGCATTAGCTCACGTTTGTTGTTTTGTAAAAATAAAGTTATGGAAATGATACTGTTGTGTAATGCATGGATTTTACATTAACGTTACTATTTTGAAATGTAAACTCACATTTGACAGAGGAATAAAACACTGTTTTCAGTTGTTTTGTCCTTTGTTTTAGACACTCTAGTTCCAGTAGTAACAAACTGTCGTTCCGCTTTAATAAACAAACTGTCAATAACACAAGTCACCTCTTGCTTGTAGTAATGTCAGTGTTTTATGTGTACTTTGTACTGACCCGTTCTTTAGCTTAATTTACTATCATTTATCTTATCAATAAATATATAAAACATTTAAATTGTGTTATCATCAATTTTACACATTAAGTGACTTTATCAGTTATATCTACTGATTGAAGGTGTATTCAAATCATGCCGAGTAATTGCCGGCTTATCGTGTATGTGTAGGGATCTGTACCCGAACATTCTTATTTGTATAAAATATTACTTACTCGTGAAATAAATTGCAGCATTGAACATGGGTACATTTGGACAGGCACATAATAAAAGATCAGAGGTATAGCGAGAGGTGGGTGGGGATGGGCCGTACCGGTAGGCGCCTTGTATGTGTGGGGTGAGCGACTGGTTTTGTTTCAATACGATCAAAGGCAATGTTCAGTACTTTTATTGTTTTCGTGTTCACATAGCACACAGTGCTGTCTTATTCGCTTGTCTCTACCAGAAAGCCCACTAGCAATCGTCAACTCCTGCTTTAATATACGAATTCTACCTTTGGGTAACAATACATAAACACCCCGAGGTAAACTAATCTTACACACTCCTCTCTTTTAAAATGTAAAGGATTCTAACTTATAGTAATCTAAACTACAAATGGCCCACACCAACACAATTTTTTGCTAGCTGCATTACGTTGTATACAAATCGTATACAACTATTGTTATTATCTGTGCGTATTTAAATAAAAATACCATTGGGGGAGGGGGGGGGGGGGGAATGGATACCAACTGAAAATTTTGCAAAGTTTAGTGGTAAAAAATGTTAGCGATAGATGAATGTAATGAGAATACATGTGCATATTGACATCAACAATATTTGTACTTCCGTTTGCTGGGGTATAATGTATCCATACAACAGTCCTTGAATATATGGTATACACACACGTTTTGCTATGGCTGTTTACTTCTGCTATTTTTTATGTCAAATCTACCGACACTGGCCTCGCTTAATCATTTTAAATTGTAATGAAATCTCAGTAAATGTAATTATTTTTTAGTAATACATACGTATCTAGTTCATGTACGTTAATGTTAAATGAGCAATACACGAGTTTGATGGTGCTAATGTTACAATGGTGTTTATTGGAGGGTTACAATTATTACAAAATAACTAAGGATGGTAATAAATTTACAGGTTCAAACTATCCCGTTATAGATGATTGTGTAAAAATAAATGAATTATAATTCATACTTTAATTTTTTGTTTAAACAAAATGGTTTGATATTTTTTGTTGTTCTATTTTTCGTCATATTTGTAGGCCTATACACATACAATAACTCATACAAAGTATTTGTCTTTAGGTGTTATCGGTATTTCTTTTAAGGCACCTCTTCTGAGTGGGTGGGTTCATTGAAGTGCTTGATGATCCCACACTTTTCTATGACAATTTGAACTTTTGATCAGGTACGTGAATGCTACGGTCTAAATCGAACCCTATGAGTA